ATCTCGCGTATTTATTCTACACACGGGAAGGGTGCGCAACAACCCAGCAATGATACCTTGACGAACTGTCTTCGAGAAATGCTGTCAGTCACTGAGCAGCCAATCTATATCCTTGTTGACGCACTCGATGAGTGTCCTGACTCCTCTGGAATGCCGACCCCACGAGAGGTTTGTCCTTAAACTTTTGGAGGACCTCGTCCACCTTGGCCTTCCAAAGTTGCATATTTGTGTTACGAGTCGCCCGGAGACTGATATCAAAGATTCCCTTGGGTCACTGGCCAATAGTGCCGTTTCGCTTCATGATCAAACTGGACAAACGATGGATATTTTTAACTACGTGAGCAATGCCGTTTACTCGGACAAGAAGATGCAGAGATGGCGGAGTGGTGAGAAGGAGCTGGTTGTCGCGGAGCTGTCTAAAAGAGCTGACGGAATGTGAGGGCATCCCCCCGTACTCGGTGATAAGTCTTCTTATCATTTATCATGCAGGTTCCGATGGGTATTCTGTCAGCTGGAGGTCCTACGGCATTGTCTCCCAGCGAGTATTCGACAACGCTTGACCGGTTACCCGAATCATTGGACGAGACTTATTTGCGCGTACTCAGTCAAATCCCCCAGGCGAACCAGGCACACGCCCATCGTATGCTGCAGTGCCTCGTGGTAGCTGTCCGGCCGCTCAGTGTTTGAAGAACTTGCAGAATTGCTCGCGTTCGAGTTTGATGCGGCCCACGGAGGGATTCCGAAATACCGTGCAGCTTGGCGGTTGGATGATCAGACACAGGCTGTACTGTCCACGTGCTCAAGTCTGGTCACTATCGTCGACGCACCCTGGTACCACTTTGGGTATGGCAGTGGTCATCAGGTTGTCCAGTTTTCACATTTCTCCGTCAAGGAGTTCTTGATGTCAGATCGCCTCACATCCCCACTCGGAGACTTCTCTCGATATCACATTCATCCCGGACCTGCGCACACCATCCTCACGCAGACCTGTCTCGGATTTCTTCTCCATCTGGACGGTCACATGAGAAAGAGCCCAACAGGATTCCCTTTGGCCGAATACGCGGCGCGATACTGGGTCGAGCACGCACAATTTGGGGATGTTGCGTCACACGTGAAGGATGGGATGGAAACACTCTTTGACTCCGATAAACCTCATTTTGCGGCATGGATCGCGATATATGACATGGACAAACTTTCGATGCAAGTTCCGATGTACCATATGCCGTCTCCGAAATCCTTTCCGTCGCCTTATACACCCTCTGTACCGCTTCCAGAGTCCTATCCGCCGCATTATTCGGACAAAGAGATATCACCGAATCCGAATCCCTTGTACTATTCTGTGCTTTGTGGTTTCTATGACTTGGTCAAGCACCTCGCCATCAAACACCCGCAGCATGTCAATGCTATTTGTGGCCAATCACAGCTTCCCGCTGCTTGCGGCACTAAGCAGAGACCACGTCAAGGTTGCAGGGCTCCTCGTTGAGGCATGGTGCGAACGTTGATGCTCGGGAACCGACGGGAAAGACCATACTCCTCAAGGCACTTTCAGTGCCCCCACCTTGGCCCCCACATAACATTGTCAACATTGTGAAGTTTCTACTCAAACACGGCTTCCGATGTGAATGCTCAAGACGGCGCTCTCAGAAGTTCACTACATCTGGCAGACAGTCTCGAGGTAGTTCAGATACTTCTCGAGCACAGGGCAGATCTCAATTGTCAGGACGACAACGGCGAGACCCCGTTGCACACACTGTCCGAAAGCTGGACGTACAACGAAGTCGATGTTCTTAATCGTGCACGGTTATTATTAAAGCATGGCGCGAAGGCGAACCGACGAGACAAGAACAACCAGATGCCGTTGCATTTTGCAATTGGACGCGTTCGGTTCGAGCTCGCGAGGGTTTTCTTGAGCATGGCGCAGATGCCAATGCGGAGAACGACAACGGCAAGACCCCGTTGGATCTTGCGTTAGATATACCACTAGTCTCGCCACTAGTTGTGTCAAAAAGCCCTGACCCTTTTGATTTTGTCTGGCTTTTGCTAGAGCATGGCGCGGAGGTGAACAGACGACGCAAGACTCACCAGACGCCGTTACTTCTGGCAGTCGGGCGAGATTGGTTCAAGCTCGCACTGGTTCTTCTTGAACGTGGCGCAGATGCTAATGCGGAGAACAACGACGGCAAGACCCCGTTACACATACTGTCAGAACGCCAATTTTACGACAAAGGAAACGTTGGCGATGTTCTTCTCGATCGCGAGCATGGCGCAGGACGATACAAGGACAAAACCCCATTACTTCTGCCAGTGGATATAGGTATGGGGGTGTAAAAGTTCGCCTAGCATTTATTGAGCATAACTATCAGGACTCGGAGGTCGACACACCCCCTGGGAATGGGTACCTCGTCTCGTTGAGGACGTACAAGACGAGGACCACGCGACACCGTCACATCCGGAGTCCAACTTTGGCCCAGTCGAGATTGTAGAGGCACCGCTTGACCAGGGCGTGGACACCAACGCATGGGACGACAGGGGCGAGACTTCATTGTACCAAGAGTTACTAGAAGGTGAATATCATATACGATAGTCCCAGTACTGCACAGCGTCTAACTGGAACGTTGCGTAGGCACGCACGTACAAAATGAGAACCCCCTCAGGCTTACTCCGCTGCCCTTGCCACCATCTCCCGATATTGCACGCTGGCAGATGCTTCTCTACCGTGGTACAACTGCCCACCCGGAGGACAACTTTGGCCGGACCCCATTACACCCAGTGGCTGAAGGCACCTATAGATTTGAGCAAGATCGCGTCCGCGTTGCGCAACTACTACTGGAGCGCGGCGCGGATGTCGATGCCACAGACAAGGACAACATCACTCCATTATACTTGGCATCCTGCTACGGGAGGGTCGAAATCGCTCGAGTGCTGCTTGACGGTGGTGCGACCATCAACTTGAAGTGCAACCAGGGCCGGACCCCATTGCATGCGGTGGCTGAAGGAGGATATTATTCTAAGGACATTGATGGCGTCCTTGTCGCACAACTATTACTGGAACGTGGTGCGGATATCAACATGCCAGATGACGACAACCAAACCCCATTGCATTTGGCATCAGGTTTGGCATCCTACTTTGGGAGGATCGAAATGGTACTGGTACTACTCAACGCCGGTGCAAATGCTAACGCAAAGAACGCCAAGGGTCAGACCCCATTACACCTGGTGTCACAATGCCCACATTACTCTCGAGGTGATGCCGTTGGTGTCGCACAGCTATTACTAGAGCACGGCGCAGACGTGAATGCGCAAGACAAAACCCACGCAACCCCGTCAGATTTGGCATCATACCACGGGAGGACGGAGATCGCATCTTTGTTATGTTATCAGCAAAATGACATGTTACTAGCAGCACTAGATCTGGTGCCGTTACTATCGTGTCCAACGTGTTTCACAAAAAATCACTAAAGACGTTTTGTAGCATCGTAGACAGTTCCGTTTTTACGTAGTTATATGTATACTCCTTTGTATTGTTTCATTTCATTTCAATTGATTTCAAAGGAGTTTGGACAGCAGACATCCGAGTTCATCGACGACTCAAGCAGTTCAGTGATATTTTGGTCTGGCTTCGGCCCCAAGTCGTGGCTCTTTTACAGACAATACTGCTATGCACATTTCGGTACAAGGGAGACGTTAGCTAATCTGAACTAGATTTGGTGTCCATACCCGCGGTCAGCGATCCATCGTCCTCACCTTCCATCAGTAAGTCGTCCCAACCTCCAGCAGAGTCAGACTCGGACCTTTCTCCATAGACCCCGACAGAGAGGAAGAGGAGGGAGTCGAAAGAACCGTCAAACCCGATGGCGACGACGACGCAAGTATGTAGCGCCCTCAGCTGGGTTACTATGCGGGGTCGAGGCTCGTGGGCGGGTCGGGGGATCGTCTTCGACGGGCCGGAGAGAAGGGGCGAGGTGGTTAGACTCGAAAGGCATCATGCGATGGGTTGGTGATGCGGCCAGGTTCGGAGGTTGATATCGAGTACAGGTTGAGTAGACTTAGAATCTACTCCCCCGTTACGGTGTCTTCTAATACCGGTAGTACTTGCACTACTTACCTGGTGTAAACAGGCCCTATCGGGTCCTTATCAGGTCCCTTCGAAAATGATGGCACGACGTCGCCGGCAAACGCGCGGCTCTTCGAAATGGGAGTGAGATGTCTCCGGGAAAGGAGGAGAGCTGCACCGCAGCTCGTTGTCGTTCATCACATCGAGCGACGAGTGTTGAGGGCGTGGGAGATTGGCCTTTACGGAAATAAGGGGAGGAAGTGGCGAAGTGGCGAAGGTGGTCAGGCGTGCTGGACGCAGACGGTAGCGACGGGAGGAAACTAGCGAATGCAAGCGAGTATGACTACAGGGCCCGTGCTGAGGCCCACAGGTAGAGGCGGAGAAGGTGTATATGTCGGCGTGAGCTTGAAGGAAGTGAGACGGAAGTTAAGGTAAAGCGCGCCGGACTTGCTGCCCCGGCTACGCCAGTTCGGGGTCGTAGTCGGTTGGCGCTGCTGCCCTGCCTGGTATGGCAAAGGGGGGGATGACAACGAGAACGCTCTTGCAGACGAAGGGATGCGGGCGGATCGCTATCGTATGGACTGTTGGCGATTAGGATGCCAGCGACCAAAAGAAGTTCCTACGAGATGAACAAAGAATAGGTCGCTGAATTGGAACGAGAGCGGCCGGTGCGTGATGGTAAATCCGTTAGTTACGAAGTCGGCACCGTACAAATGAGCAGGGAGGGGTGACACCAGCCACTGCGCCTCTGGTGACTAGAAGGGATCGTGGTAGAACGTCCATGTAACTAGATGCGTAGGGATGAGTCGGATGGCAAGGGTTTCACGCTAGTGTCAGGCTGGGGACGTGACATGCCAAAGGTCCTCGGAAACTTACAAAGACGAGTAGTATTTTGGGAAGAGGGTCATAGAATTATCAGAGTCAAATGACACCCTACACGCGGATGGGTAGCGTGGCCGAGTGGTCTAAGGCGCTGGATTTAAGTACACATACTTGACTCCCAGTGGGGGAAAACCCGCGCGAGTTCGAACCTCGCCGCTACCCAGTTCGCCTTTTTTTTCTCCAGGATCATTTATCACCATCACCGTCTTTGCGTCGTAGGAATGGGTGATACGCTTATCATTCTGGTTGTTTCGAACGGCGAGGATGTCTAGTCTTTCCAAGCTCTTTCCTTCTGGTTCACACATCTTGATTGACGGGGGTTTGGTGCATTGGCTCGTCCTCGTTGTCATCGTAATAGGCTAATGGTTGGGGAACAGGGATCGACGCTTGAAGACGTCTTTCGAATAGATACTGCTTCATCCCTTTGGTCCTCGGAGGCCTCTGATCAAGAATCCCGGGTCTGTTATCGAGGCGCACCTCTTATTCTTACGAGCCGGCGCACGCCTTATCGAAACAGCGTCGTGAGGAAATATCTTTTCTTGAGCTTTTATTCCTACTTATTATTGTAGGTATCAAGGTTCATTCAGCACGTATGGCGAGGGCGGGTTATTCGCAGGATGACGCCATACGACTCATGCGCTCATCCGTCGCGCTTGCTGCCGAGGCACGCAAGCGCTTCGCCGCTGAATCACACGTACCCATCGACAGCATCAAGATCGCGCTCTCCCTCGCCGCATACGGCGCCTCGTTGCCCCTTCCACACGAGTTCGACGGCTTCTACCCGCCGCCCTACGGCCCACAGGCATACGTCCAGCACTCCGCGCTCCCGAACCGCAACGCCTTCCGCGCGGACGAGCGCACACAAGAAGCGCAGGCCGAGGTCCGCGCTCGCCGCGTTCCACCTCGAGCGGCTGCGTGCGTACGCAGCCGATCCCGCAGACGTGGCGCGAGATCGACGCGCTCGCATTCGAGACTGTTCCCCGCTCGCGCGTGAGGTGCGCGATTATACGCCGTGCCGTCGCGGCGCTCGAAGACGATTGATCTCGAGCGCAAGCCGTGGTGGGTGTGCGCCGTGTATACGGGCGGCGGAGTTTCCCCGAGCAGCAGGAAGGCGCCAGTGGTGAGCGCCTCGGCGCGGAGAGACGTGCTCGCTGCGTACTTTGGCGATAGCGACGCGCATGCTGCTGCTGGTAGTGGCGAGGGCGGTGCGCGCTATGGCAGTCCCAGATGCATTCGGCGTCAATTGCACTGCCGTTGCGCATGTCGCGAAGGCCGTCGCTGCCGTGAGCGACGCCCTGGAGGAGAACTGGCGCTGGCCCTGCCGTCGGCGGTGGGAAACCCTGGCTCGTGCTCAAGCCAAACGGCGGTCAGACGTACGACATGGATACACGTAAGTGGGGCTGGCCTGGCCGGTGAGACCCCCTCGCAGGGAGACGAGTGGGCTGGGCAGCTCAGCGATATCGTACGCGCCGCGAGAATAAGGGCGTTGGGGGCGGAATCCTGGTTGGCGGTTGCTGTAAAACTGGCGACGGCGAGTTACCGTGGCGTTGGCTAAAGTGTGGCTTGAATTGGGTTCAAATGGGAAAGAAATGGAATGCATGAGAAAGGTATTGTGTACTGGCACACCACAGACAACCATACAGTAGCGCAAAGCCTCACGTCGGCCCGGGGTGCTCTGTGAAGGTCTGCTCACCCTCCGTAACTGGTATGACTAGGAAGTAACGAGAGATGGTGGAAGACTCTGCTCTCTCCCGTATTGAATTCATTGGGTCAAATACTACAGAAAATAGTGATTTACCAACCCGCTCATCGGCGGCTGGGTGTGCATGTGATGCCGAGTTTCGCTCCTTCGTTTGTTCGCACAATACATAAGCTTGAATCCAGCCCAGAGCCCCGCGGGAGCTTACAGTATCAACAACCACTTTCGAAGAGGGTAGCTTTGCGTTGACTACTTTAGCGTGGATCATGATGATGACACTGTGCCCCGGACGCTAACGATAATCGAGGTATGAAACTCCGCACGTGGATGACGCAAGTGGGTCGCATTAGACGCCAGTATGGATGAGCGGCTATCTGTGAGTTGCCAGGATGCCAAAGCAGGGTTGCGTTACCAGTTCATATGTATTTTGTGGGGTCGAACGTGGCGCGAAACACTTGAATGAGAATGAAACAGAACGGGACGTACAGTGTATAAAAGCTTCGTTTTCCCTGCCTGGAAGGACGGCGAATCGGTCTATGACCAGGGAAAAATGGGGCCCGTACAGCTACTGTGGAGTAGCGTTTAACAAATCAGAACTCTCAGATCTGATGATATAATGGAGTGGCTCTCACCAGCTGCTGCGGACTGGGCTACAAAAGCAGTCATTGAATATCTGAAATGAGAAATGAGAAGTTGTCTGGAGTTTGGCAGTGTCGAGCTGTAAGTGGGAGAAAAGCGGAAGAAAGGTCACGGTTTTCGAGAGGGATCGATCTGCCTTGTATTTCTGGAAGAAGGGACCACAATTCGGGAGTTAGAAGCAGAATTACAGTACCAAACCGGGGTAGTGATCGTGAGGGTTCACTCCACAGTCGCCGGCGAAGCGAGCCGCGCCTAGCTGCTATAGCCCAGGTGGAAACGAAATATATAAGAGTCATAGGTGATGGAAGTTCCACCTGTCTAGTGGTCCCTCAATTTTCCATACCTTCCATGTCCGCTGACGGTTCTGACGATAAAAAAACTCCTGTGGGGTCTATCCATGAGGAAAAAACGTCATGCCTCACACATCCAGGTCGATAATGCCGTCTCGAACATTAGTGCAAAACTTGCCAACCCTCTCGCGGGCTTGTCACATGAGGAGCTCATGACCAAGGGTGGCAGAGTTTGCCGGGACCATGGTCTTGGACACCTAGAAGAGGAGTTTAAGAAGGGTTGCCCTTTGCGGCACAGGATCCTCGTGCATTCGAAAATTTCCCTATTTCACCGAAGATGACAAGAAGATCTTTCGTCGTGAAATAACACACCGTTGGGACCACCCTGTGGACGTTGTATCACTTGGTTATCCTGTGTTCAGTCGCGGCGCAGTCCAAGGAGTAAGTTCACTTTCCTTATTTGGCTTCCTTATTTGGCTAGGAAGCTCTTATCTAATTATCTAATAAGATCTAATCAGATGATCAAGCTGTCATTAACGGGGAAAATCTGTTCTTTGCTTCACAATTTCACATCGACAGCACGTCGGGTAACGCCAGTCAAAACGAATGGCTCCTCGGTCTCGTGAACGCTGCCCCATACGTACGTATTTAAATAAAGTCTTTCCCTTGAGTCTAACGTCTTTACTCTTGTCGTAGCTTTGTTGCGCAATACTTGGTTGCTGGCTCACAGAACCCCTCAATAACTGGCTTGGCCGTCGCGGAACCATTTTCTTTTGCGCAGCCTTTTCTTTTCTCACTTGCATCTGGCAAAGGTGTCACCAACTCATGGCCTCACCTCTTTGTTGCTCGCTTCTTCCTCGGTCTAGAGTTGGCCCTAAATCTTCCACGGTCCCCGTCTACGCCGCGGAGTGTGCCCCTCCTGCGATCCGCGGTGCTCTCGTCATGATGTGGCAGATGTGGACCGCCTTTGGTATCATGTTCGGATATGTTGCGGATCTGGCCTTTTACAAGGTTCCTGACAAACCTCATATCAAGGGTCTTAACTGGCGTCTGATGCTCGCTTCTGTACGCACATCCATCTACCTCTCAATTTGGTTCCGCACCAATAGCACATTAGGCTGGACTTCCCGCACTCTTCCTCATGGCACAAATTTACTTCTGCCCTGAATCACCTCGTTGGCTCATCTCCAAGGGTCGATACCCGGATGCGTACAGGTCGCTGGAGCGACTCCGCCGTCACCCTGTGCAGGCGGCCCGCGATCTCTACTGTTAGTATTTTTCCCATTCCCATCGCTCCGGGTCTGATTTGTCACCAGATATACATGTTCTTCTCGAGGCGGAGAAAGAACTCACTCGTGGTCGTAACCGTTATCTTGAACTGTTCACCATCCCGCGTAACCGGCGTGCCACCCTTGGCTCTTTCATAGTCATGTTCATGTGAGTCTCAAAAGGTTAATACTCGTCCTACATCTCGTTGACCACTGCCTCAGGCAGCAATTGTGCGGAGTTAACGCCATCGCGTACTATTCATCCACGATATTTAGACAAGCCAACTTCTCCGAGATCCAGGCGCTCCTAGCATCCTGGGGTTTTGGCGCCCTCAACTTCGTCATGGCATTTCCTGCTGTGTATACCATTGATACATTTGGCCGCCGCAACCTTTTACTCGTCACGTTCCCTCTCATGTCCCTCTTCTTACTCATGACCGGCTTCGCATTGTAAGTCCTAGCGCCGGTAGTCTCGTGTTGTAACGCATTGACATTCGCTTCATAGCTGGATCCCAGAAGGCACAGGTCGAATTGCAGTTGTTGCACTAGGCATCTACCTGTTTGGCTGCGTATATTCCCCCGGAGAAGGCCCTGTCCCATTCACATATTCTGCCGAGGCATTCCCACTATATATTCGTGACATTGGGATGTCCTTTGCGACTGCCGTCACTTGGCTCTTGTATGTAGATGCTATCGTTCAAAGTGCGCCTACGAGCTGATTGATTTGCACAGCAATTTCGTGGTCGCCATCACCTTCCCGCGTCTGTTGGGAGCGTTCAAGCCCCAGGGAGCATTCGGATGGTATGCTGCGTGGAACATTGTCGGGTTCATCGCTATACTACTCTTCGTCCCCGAGACAAAAGCGCTCTCACTCGAAGAGTTGGATCAAGGTACTTACCTTTACCCGGCTTCTCACTACAGCAGTACTGACACAGACCCAGTCTTCTCGCTACCTACACAAACCCATGCCGCATACCAAATCAAGGCGCTCCCTCACAACATCAAGAAGTATGTCTTCCGCATGAAGGTCGATCCTTTACCACCTCTGTACGAGCACGATGGTGCCATTGGCGAGAAGCACTATGCGCCTGGTGGCGCTGGGCACGCGTGACCGTCGCCATGCCAGTTGGCTCAACTCATGATTGTTACTTACGCGTAATAATAGTCACTACCCAGGATTGTACGATTCGTTCTCGTCTGACTTGAATGCCGCGAGTGGAGAATAGCTCGCCCTGTCGGCGGTGTGCCAGTGAGTCACAGTGTTGA